GCAACAATACTTCGATATTATAAGACTCCAATATTGATATTGATAATACAAATCTATCCAAACAGTGCAACTTCTTTTTTTCGTCTGTTATTTGTTTTATCCAGAGTTAGCTAATTTTAAATCACTCTTACTCCAAGAGTGTTTTCCCTATTTTATCAGTCATAAATATAATCCATTTTGATATGTTTCATAAAGAGTACTGTTTGAGATAAGATCTTTCTTTGAACTTGGTTATCAACTCACTTATACTTTTGAAGGTCTCTTATCTATAGTTTTCATTGGAATTTTTAAGGAGCTCTTAAGGACATCTTTTATGCCATAGTATTATATCAATATAATAAAATTGACTAAAAATTTCAGGACATCCTGACATTTTTTTTTATTTAAAGACAAAGTCGCATCTACCTAATGGTTATTAGCGACGAATCTGTACAATTTTGCAAGTATTACATGGTTACTGTTGTGAATTGTCTTATTTCTACAACACAAGAAGCGAACCAGACGTTGGATCTGGCTAAGTATATAGACTATGTGGATTAAATAATCCTTTGTCGAAACAATTTTCTAAGTCGAACTGCTAATAATAATGCTTGTTGAATTTAAGTGCGCTTTATTTTATGTTACACTTTAGTTACAAAAGATTGATTTTACAAAAGTATTTAACTAATCAAATCAAATCAAAATCAAAAACAATCAATTTATTCTTATTTCTTTTTACCTGTTTGAAATTTTTTTTTTTCCTAAGTTAATGGCATTGGCAAAGCCAAAAGGCCAGTCATATTTTCTCATAGTTTTATCATCCATTTCCATTGTTTACATTATATACATATTAATATTATATACAAGTTAAATTAAGATAGAATATTTTTAGTGTGTTAGTACATGCCTAAATATTTTCGTTACTTATTTTTATTTTTATTGTTCTTTTTTATCGTTCTATATACCATTGTAACTTTTCTTTTATTTTTATTGTTTATTTCTTTTTATTAGTATTATTTTTTATTGTTTAATATTATTTATTTATTGGTTCACTTTTTTTTTTTGCTTTTTTTTTATTTTGTTTTTTTTTTTGTTTTTTGTTTTTTTTTTTTTTTTTTTCTTTTTTTTGTTTTTTTTTTTTGTTTTTTTTTTCGTTTTAGGCTTACAAATATATTCATATTTCGCAATACTGCTTACAAAGTAATATTAGTAGATTTTACATACTGATATATGATGTTGTAGATACTATTATCCTCTAATGTCAATAGATTTGAAACATTTATTGGAAATTTCATTTTGTACAATATTAAATTTTGATAAAACTTATCAATTTCTATTTTTTTTAAAGGACATTCTAAAAGAATATGTTGTAAATCGGCAATTTCATCACATAGACATTTATTATTATCTAACAAACCTATTTTATGTTTATACGCTGGAAATAGTGCATGATTGCAGCGCATTCGACTTATTATCCGAATAATTGAACGATTATGTGTATTCTCAAACCATGGTTTGTCCCTTATTTTTGGTTGTATATTCTTAAAAAACTGTCCTTTGTCTCCACATTTATATTTTATCTGCCACTTTTCCTTAAGTTCCTTTCGAAAAATTGGAATAAAATCAGATTCTGGTATTTTTAATCTAAGTAGTCTTCCATTTTTCGCACCATCTTTTGCTAAATGGTCCACTTCTTCATTTTCTTCTATACCGGAATGGGCTTTTATCCATGATATATAAATTTGTTTTCCTCTACTTGATACATTTTGATACAATTCTAAAATATCAAGAAGAATATAATTTAAATTAGGATTCAAAAACAGATTATTAAGTTTTTCTACCGAACTTTTAGAGTCTGTAAATATGACAAATTTATCCTCATCTTGTTCTAAACACAGATTAATTGCTAATTTTATGGCAATAAGCTCAGCACTGAAAATTGACATCATATCTGACAGTTTGTATATTAGTTTGATATTTTTGGAAGGATAATAAACTGCACAGCCAACTCCATGTTCCGATTTAGATCCATCAGTATAAACTTTTTCATACTGTTTCCATTTTACTATACAATCTCGATAATATTCTTTTTGTATAATAATATTGTTTTGACACAAATAGCGGGCGTTAATATGTGTCTTAACTGGAGAAAGAAACATTTCATAAGAATAATTCCATAAAGGGATTCCATTGGATTTATAAAGTTCTTCATATCTGTGAACATTGGTAATGAAACTTTCAACTAATAATGGTATTTTTTTCTTATCCCAATATTTAGATGTTAAAACCAAACCAGCTAAACTAGATACTTTAACCAGTAACTTGGATTTCTGACTTCTTAACTTTAACACGAATTTGTCAGATAGAAATCTTCTCCGAAGATTCAATGGCGGTTCGCATGTTTCTGTTTCCATAACGTCTATAGGCGTACTTCCCAAGTATCCAATACAGAGTCGAAGGCATTTGTTTTTTATTTTATCTATTTTTATAAGATTTGTCTCTGCTGCTGAATGATAAAATATAGATCCATAATCTAAAATAGATCTAACGAGTGTTCTATAAAATAGTAACATTATTTTTGGATCCCCTCCCCAGGAGGAATGACCGAATGTTTTTAATAAATTAACACTATTTTCTGTTCTTTTGATTATATAATTTATGTGTTCCTTCCAATTTAATTTACAATCTAAAATTACTCCTAGAAATTTAGTGGAAGATTTGTATGGAAACAAATATTTAGATAATTTTATTTGTTCAGGAAACCGATATCTTTTTCTTGTAAAAGTAACTAATACTGATTTTTCTTCGGAAATTATTAAGCCGTTGTTGAAAATCCAATTATCTAAATTTCTTATTGCATAATTGAGTTGTTTGTGGCCTATCTCGATGGATTTGTGGCGTGTGTAAATAACAATATCATCAGCATATTGCAAAATAGATATATTATGTGGGATGTCAACAACTAGATCACTTGAGTAAATAATATAAAGTATAGGACTTAATATACCACCTTGTGGCAAACCCATAGATGTTTGTCTGCATTCAGAGAATAAGTGGTTTTCTCTGAAAAATAAATTTCTATTACTGTATATATTATATAGGTGTTTAGACAACCTTTGGGGAATTCCCATTTGACACATTTTTTTATATAATATGTCTAATTTCACGTTGTCATATGCCCCTTTTATGTCTAAAAATAAAGCTGATGCTGACTGGTCATTGGAGAGTGATAATTGAATATCTGTAACAAAATTGGCCAGATTTTCATATGTCGATTTTTTTTTTTCGAAATCCGAATTGAGAACTGTGAATAAGATTATTAGATTCCAAAAAAATTCTAGTCTTGATTTTATCATTCTTTCATATGTTTTTAAAACACATGATGCTAAAGATATAGCCCTATATGACGATGCCTGATTTTTTGGTTTTCCTGGCTTAAGTATGGGAACTAAAATGTAATTTTTCCATTGTGAAGGTATATCGACTTTATTTAACCAAATATCATTTAGTAGATTTAAAAGCAAAATTTTTCCTGATCTAGGAAGATTAAACAACATAGGATAATGTATATTATCAGAACCTGGAGCTGTATTGGCAGATTTTTTGAGTGCCATGTCTAATTCTTGAAGTGAAAACTGGTTGGTAAGATAATGTCCACTAATAATATGATCTATTGTATCTACACAATCAAGAACAGTTGGGTCAGGGGATACATATGGAGGGGTTAAATTGTAATGAAATTCAGCAAGCCATTCATCATGATCTGATTGATTTTGATTTGAATATTTTCGATTTTTAAAATTATTTACCTTTTTCCATAATATATTCTTAAGAGGTACTGATCTGTTGAGTGATTTACAATAATTTTCCCAACTATCTTTTTTTATTTGTTTGAAGGTTTTTTTTGCTATAGCATCGGTTCTTTTATATTCTAACAAATTATCTAGTGTGGGATTATTCATATATTTATGATAACTGTTTCTTCGTTTCCGTACTAGAAATTGACATTTTTCATTCCACCATTGTTTATTTTTATTTGAACTTTGATTTGATTTAAATTTAGGTATAGAAAGGTTTGCTGCATTTTCAACTATTATAAAATAATTGTAATCACCAACTTCTGTTTTATTGATCAGTTCTTGAAACTCCATACAATATATATACCAGTTTGCTTTTTTAATATTCCATTTTCTACAAGATAGTAATTTATTAACTTTGGGTACCATATATATTTGTGTAATGCATGGTAAATGATCAGACCCATAAAGATCTTTTATTGTGTGCCAATATAGTAAATGTTTTATACAAGGAGAGCAAATTGTCAGATCGATAGCAGAATGAGATTGCAAATAATTCCCTTTGAATGTAGGTGATCCATCGTTGAGATATACAAGATTATTTCGGTCAAGAGCTTTCATAAGTGTTATGCCATAGTGGTCTGTGTTTGGCCCACCCCAGGCAATATTATGTGAATTAAAATCTCCCGTAAAAATTACAGGTGGATTAAATGAACTAAAGAATTGATCCCAAATATGCAACGAAATTTTAGTTTTTGGTGGAACATAAAGCGATACAATGGTAATATTTTTTTTATCATTACATTTTAAAAGAATGGATGATTGATTACAATTAGGTAGTAAAACAGATATAGGTAATTCTGTATACAAAAGTTTTGATTTAATAAGGATGGCCGTTCCCCCGCCACTGCGGTCTAAACGGTCATCCCTCACAATGTTGTAACCTGGAAGATTAAAATATTTATTTGATGTAAATCTAGTTTCTGACAAGCAAGCTATATCGATGTTAAGATCATTTAACAAATATTGTAAATTTTCTTTATTTGAATTTGCCGATTTAATGTTCCATTGACATAGAGTTATATGATCCATGTTCAAAAAGGTTATTTAAGCTAGTTTTAATAATATTTGTAATTTCGTTTTCTTGTATGTCTAATTTATTTGTGTTCTTTATTGTATTTATGGTTGATAAAACTATCCGAAAAATGACATTTGCAATTTCACTATTTTCGTTTTCTGTTACGACATTTTCTGATTTATTTTCATTTTGAATATTGGACTGATATTGTTCTGAACTCAAAATTCCCCCTTTCTTAAAAGGAAGATTAACTGAACTAATAATGGATTGATGCTCTAACAATGTATGATCGGGAGATAAAGGATAAGATCTTTTACTTTTTTTTGTTAAGTTATTTAATTGGGCTTGATAGTATGACTGGGAATTCGGTCTTTGAGAAATGGATCGAGTATTGGATTGGTGTGATATATGTGAAAAGGGTTTGGACGATGTTGAGGCTACATGAACATTATCTGACTCTAATGAAGAATTTTGTTGTAAATTAGAATTAACTATTGTATTATCAACTGTTTTTGAAGGTAAATGTTTAGATACAATATCTGCATAACTTTTTTTTGGAATACTACTACTAGCATCCTTGAAGGAACAATTTGTTTGTGACATCATTTGTTTAATTTGTTCTTGTCTGTTGTACTCCGGGCATACATTAAAATCGTTAGTAAAATGGTTTCCATTACAAGAAAAACACTTTACTGTAAATTCGTCTGATGAACAGGTAACTGTGTCATGACTCTGACAACATTTAAGACATCTTATTTTGCTTCGACATTGTTTACTAATATGTCCATAACGGTAACAATTATTACACATTACAACTCTTTGTTTATAAACTTCTACCTCGTAAAGAACTTTATTAATTTCTATATACTTAGGTAAAGTTTGACTTTTAAAGGAAACCAAAATAGTACTTGTAGGTATTAATTCTGTTTCGTTATTTGAGTTTTTTACTTTTCTGTTCATTCTTTTAACAAATTCCACTTCAAATTTACAATGAAAATCATAGGCCCTAATTTTATTTTTTAAATATTCAACTGGTAAATCTTTATCAATGAATCTAATAATTCCTAATCGGAATATTAAAAATTTGGGAATATAAGCAGACAAGTTTTTATTTTCTAAAATATGAGACTTTAACAATATATTAGCGCTCAAATAATCCTTACAAAAAACCCGAATTCGATTTCTTCCTATCGATTGAATTTTTTTTATTTTTTTGTCTAATTCCGGATGTGAAGTTAAAATTATTTCTCCAACTTTTATTGCGTTTATTTGGCCTAAATAATTATCCATTTTATTTTCAATGTAAATCTGAAACGGGCCTATATCAGTAGACTGATAAAGAAATGTTGTTATTACTTTTTTGTTCGATTCATTATTATTATTGTTAACGGAAAAACTTGATTCTGGATTAGAGCTAGCCTCATCTATCTTATCCTGTAATACAATTTGTTTTTTATTTTTTTTATCTTTAATATTCCGATTCAATGCAGAAGAATCTATAATTAAATTTAAATGATTTGAACCACTTATCTGATTATTTCCTAGATCTAAGTTTTCTATAGGGTCCGGAAGAGGAGGGGGTTTCCCCCCATCGTCCACATCCATATGAATGCACTAATCTTTCACAACACCCTTATAACCACAATTATAACTAATTTTCAAATAATTACTATTGTCTACTAAAACTATTGATTGTACTAAACTTCTAATATACACGTGTAAGCACGACAACTGTTCACGCACGAATGTGACCTGTTTGAAATGGACTTACACTGGCAACATATTCAAGATTTTAACACTATTTACACCATTTATTTTTCTGATTTGTGAACGAAGGTTTACGTAGAGTGCGTGGATTTTTGCCCAAATCTTGAGATGTATTTACTGTCAGGTACTAGAATGAAGTCTGGTACGAGTGAGAACTATCCTACTTAAGGATCAAGCACGAAGTCTGGTGCGGATGAGAACTATCCCACTTGAGGATCGAGAGGACGAAGTCTGGTGCGAGTGAGAACTATCCTACTTGAGAATCGAGGACAAAGTCTGTTAATGCCGCCTGAATTCAACATTGTATAGGGAAAAAGAACCCGAAAAGGAAGAAGAAGAGGTTAGTACGAGCAAAAAATATTCATAACCAGTTGTGGGCGTAAAAAATGATAATTTAATTTAATTTTTATATTGAGAAAAGGAGAATTTGCGGTAAAATAATATTGAAGTGTGTTTATTTTAACGGTATTATTATTATTTATTATTTAAGTATTAACAGAAAATCAGACGGGACAAAAATTCGTTTAATTGAAATTAAAATATATCGAAAATAAGTAGAATATGCTTTCATGTTTAATTATTAATTATAACAAAATAATGAGAAATTATTGGTGGTATATTAAGACTTAAATAATTACAAAAAGGTTAAATCCATATTTGGTAACTTGAATAATAATTTTTTTTTAAGAAGTTGTCAAAGTTTTTTGTCTTTATGGCTATGCAATTGTGTGCATTTTATAAAAAGCAGTTTATGCCTGCACGGGAATAAAGTATATTACTGTTTAGTTGGTAACTAAGCAACAAAAACACAATAATGAACTAATATGACATAAAATATTATATCGATAATGATCATTATATTAAAATTAATAATTATTCTTCTGGTATAAAAATGAAACAGGTAGGTTACTATTTATAGTATTAAATAAAAAAACATTTGGAATAAATAGGACAGTCTCGAAATAATAACTCTCATCGATCTATTCCACAAGTCAAATTTACTTATTGCTTCTATGAGTAACTTGAAGTTGATTAAGGTTGAATTAAACCAATGGTCAGCAACAGGCGGACCACGGTCCGAATCCGGACCGCGAAATGTTTAACTGTGGACCGAACTGCGGAATATCGATTGCCTTTAATTTTCAAATAGGAAGTGAAATGATAAATAAACATAACAATTTTGTATAAGTGATGAAATATTGTTTTATAATAATATTGTATATTTACAGTAACTGAAATATATATGGCATAAATATGGCAACTTTTAAAACGCAATTTGGGAAAATAAAATTTATGGGCCTAGCAACGTTGCTGCCCACCGACTAACGTCGCTCACTATTACTTTTATTATTTTTCTTCCTACCAAGCCTGTCTATTTTTCTCAGGAGTTTTAGGAGTTTTATTAGTTTCTATTGATTTTTTTCAGTTGTTTAAGGTATGTTATCCTCTCACTTTTATGTACCACTGATCTACTCCGATAGTCAAGCAGCTCTAAAAGCAGTTACTTCTACGCAGGGTAATTCAAGGTTTGTGTGGAATTGTTTAGATGCCCTCTCCTAGGTTGGAAGATTAAACAAATTGACGCTAGGCTGGGTACCAGATCATTAAGGCCATTGGGGCAATGAGAAGGCTAATAAATTGGCCTAACAAGGCGCTTGTAAGCCACAATTAGCCCAAAGCCTTGTTTTGGAGTTGTAAATACATATAAAATAGTAGCCATTAAGAAATGGGTGCAAGATGGGAAAAATGCACCAGGACAAAGACAGACTAACGAGTTCATTGAGGGACATTCTGCCGAATTCATAGCCGACTTATTGAGCTACAATTCAAAAATTGTTAGGGTGATAGTTTAACTGCTGACTGGACACTGTAGGCTCAATAAACATTTGAGTTGTGTGGACCTGACGAAACAGGTTGCTTGTCGGTTCTATCTAGAAGAAGAGGAAACCGCGATGAACGTCTTATGTCAGTGTAAAGGCCTTAAGGTTGCGGAAACTAGTACTTGTGCAGAAGAACCAATCTATATGAAGAGATAACTTCATATCTATCTTCAGAAATATGGAATAACTGTCCTGGATTTGGTATCTGAGTCCATTCACGAATATTTTTTAACCAAGAAACTTGTTTTCTTCCTACACCTCTATGGCCCTCTATTTTGCCTTTAAAGATCAGTTGTTATATTTTATATCGACGTCCTCTTACTATATATCCCAGGTAAGATATTTTTCAATGTTTAACAGTGTTTAGCAGTTCTCTATCTTCGTTGACGCTTATTACTATTTCTTTATTAGTTTTTCTTGCTGTCCAAGGTATCTTCAGCATTCTTCTATATACTCATATTTCCAATGCTTTAATTTTGTTTATGATCGATACTTTTGGCGTCCACACTTTTGAACAATAAAAGTACGGACCACACATAGCACAACCATAAACTGAGATGGTTATTGTAAAGAAATGGCTTTATTTTCATAAAAGGAGTTTTAGTCATTGCTATTCTACGTTTATTTCTATGTCTGGATCTAGTTGGTTCGTTATCGTTATCACAGTTCCCAAATATGTCATTTTGTAAACTTTCTCAACTTGGACTCCGTTTAATTGAGCTTGAAAGCTGATGAAAGCGTGAAGCTTTGCATCGGAATGTGGGTCACGACTAAACACTAAAAATTTGGTTTTGTTTGAGTTTATTTTAATGCCCATTTCCTCTCCTACCTCGTAAATACGATCAAGCAGAATTTGAAGACCTTCAATATTTTCCTATCTTATTCTTATTTAATGCAGACTAAAGAAATACGATTATTAAGTAACATATGAGTCTGTTTTTTTTTATTTTTATACTTTTTCATTGGATGCCTTATAAAAGCAAACTAACAAGTACAGTATTTTAAACCAATACAGCAATCTATTTAAAAATGAAGGTATTTGAACAATGAGTTTGTTTTTTATTTTTATACTTTTTCATTAGATGCCTTATAAAAGCAAACTAAAAAGTACAGTATTTAAAACCAACACAGCAATATATTTAAAAATGAAGTTATTTAAACAATGGGTTCTTCTAGTATTGACTAATGATTCAAAAACTTGAAAACTAAAAAATTTGTGAAGAAAATTGGAGTGGCTCAGACACCTCTGAGGCAGCGACTAAAAATTTCCAGAGATATCGAGTGCAAGGGAGAACAACCCGTCACGTAGGAGAATTAGAGGTGGGAATGTTCTAGAACATAGTAACTTTGGTATATATATGTAACGATGTTGAGAGTTAGTTTTAGTGGTTAAGATATTACCAAATTATAAACTTATAAATAAATATATTTATATAAATTCCAACTGCTCGTTTTATTTAAAAACGCTACAATATGATGTATATTTTTCTTTTGATCTCTTTACTAATATTATTGTCTGGACTGACCAACCAGCATAGATATATAATTTTTTTACATTTTTTACTCTGGAGGTGCCTCAGTTCTTTTAAATTCAGTACTAACGTTTACATATTTTGTTTTGCTATATTGATTTACGTCGCTGTTTTCTATCGCTTTTTCTATTAGATTGAATGCTTTTATCATATCCCTTCTGCTTCTAGCTATGATATCAACGTAGTCAGGAAATGTTATTATTTGTACATTTTTAATAATATTGTTCACCTAATACCGACTATTAATTCTCTTGTTGGGTTATTCCGCATATATATCCTCTCAACGTATCTGATATGAAGTATATCGAAACAAGATGCAAATTAAAGTACATATTTTGAAGTTTGTTTTGAAAGATTATTATGTTTTATTATTATTACCCAGATTTAGCCAAACGGCTCACACTCCCTCTGAGGGGAAAATTTACTCATCCCAGATACCTACGGTATCAAGGGGATTGAGTTCTGGTGGGACTCTTTTCGTGTTATCGAGCCCTAGGTGACTTGGTATGTTGGAGTATCTCCCAAAAATTTTTGTACACATCTGGACGTTGTGAGGAGTATAGCTTTTTATATAGCCTTATAGAGATGTTAATTTAGACCCAGTTGTTTCATGTTCTCTAGGAGGTTTTTGGGAATAACACCAGTAGTAGATAGAGTAGGTAAAGTTTGTTTCACGAAAAATGGTTGAGTGCTTAATGGTTACCTGAGTTGATCCTATTGTGTATACAAGAGTCTCTCAATAAACTACCGAAGTGCACAGGGTCGCACTTCAAAGTTCAACAAACTTCAGAAAGTTTGTTGTTTATTATATTTCATTATTAGCTGTGTAATACACGATTATAAAAATTTATTAAATTATTTCTTATGGTATTTTCGGGTTGTTCAAGTGAATATACTTGATAATTAAACAATTTTTAATATGAAGAAAGTAGTTTTTTGTTCTACGGCAATAATTGTAGTATAATATGGATCTAAATTCAGAAAGGTACTTTCCTTCACACTTTTTACAGGCTTAGGACTGTCAACAAAAAACTTGCATGTTTAAAAGTTTTTGCTCTCCCTAATCGGATATCGTTAAAAATGTACAGTAATAATAGTTCTATTTACAGTATATACATACAAACGAATACATAATGTACAAAAAATAGATGAATTGAAAAAAAAATATAGAAAAATATATACAAGTTAATATTTAGAAAGAAAAATACCCAAAATAACCAAAATATATTTATGAATTCCTAATTCATAAATGGCATACTGAATTTTTCAAACTTTCTGAGGAGATATCATCAACACATTTCCTTATTAATTCGACTACACCACCACTTAAAGTCGGAGAAACATTTTGTGACCTAACATTTGACTTTAGTTGGTGCCACATGGGATTAGTGCTAGATTGCCATGGGAATGCCACATGGGATTAAAT